ATACATTTCATATGATAATCCTATAGCACATAATCTTTTGTGGATACAGATTGTGTGAAGAAACTTCATTCTTAAATGATTATATTTTGGTTAAATGTTTAACTCAGATGATACTATGCCTACACCATGTGATCGTATAAGAAGTTTATATACATCTACTTGTACTTGTACCTATATATTATAGTTATAGTTATTATACTATGCTTTAATATGTTTGTAAGTCAAGAGAACAATTATATTTTGCCTACTGTAAAAGTGTAACCCACTTTAGTTAATGCTTGTACTTATGTATTGCCCTCTCTTCCTGTAGATTTACATACTAAGAAAATAATTGAAATTTAAATGTAGACATGTGATGTTAACTCTAAGAGGTCATTGTGATTTCAGTCCTGCAAGTTTGCTCTGCGACTGCTAGGCCCTCTGATGGGGTCCACTGCTATCAATGGCATGTTCCAGAAACATCTTCTCGAAGATGCTCGCTTGCACTATGGCGAATTCATGAATGACCTGTCCAAGATTATCGTGAGTATATGAAGACAATTAGGTTTGAAAAATTAACATTCACTACAATGTAATTTACAAAATATTTTCTACTCTACAGAGTTTTCTTTCCTGGAGAAATTGTGCCTTTTAGACAAAAATTATAATAATAAATAAATGTTATATCTTTACATATCTTAAAACTGCTAAAACTTGATGAAGATTTAATAATTAATGATTTGTCACTGAATATAAAGGATAACTAACCATTTTAATTAGTTACATGAAAACAACTGGTATCCAGTTATTAGTCAAAACATGAAAACTTATGCCCATTTCATGACAGTTTCGACTGTGAAGCATTCTCTAAACTGATAAGAGAAAGACTTAATTTTTTAATAGCAATAAAAAATTTAACTTAAACCTGATAAATGGTGATTACTGAATTGTTTTAGCCAAATTTGGGTATTTCAAACCCCTTTTTGTGGAGAGTGCACATAATATACATTAAATATCAAAATGATCATTTTCAGATCAAAGACATCCCAGATAAGGTGAACTTTTATGTCATGGGTTGTGTGTCCTTCTTTAAGAGTCAGTGGCCAGAGATAAAGTGCAATGCTGCTATGTTTGCGGGTAAATATCAGTTATTTAGGAAATTGAAACTTTAACAAGTTGGTAATGGATCAAGAAATACTTTTCAGGCAAAGTCTTGTTTCTAAAGCATGTACTCGCAGCACCATTTCTGGTGGTTATTTAAAGTTTTCTTTTTATGAATTTGGTCATTTTCACCTCTGCTTTGTACAGGATGAATTGATATTGTGAAAAAATACTGAAGTTTGATTTTGTATTATTGTTACAAGCACATTCATTGAAGAGTATTTTTAAACATGGATGTACCATTTATTGCTCATTATATTTCTAGGTTTCCTTATGGGCAACTTGAGCAAAGATAAACATACTCTTGTGAGCAAAGAACATGTGTGCGGAGGTAGGAGCATAGCGTAATCACTTTTGAAATTAAATTCAATATTATCTTTAGTTAGTGCTTTTAAAGACTTTAAAAAAAGTTCTTGACTTAAATAACCTGTAAGCTGCCAAAGTGTTTGAATGGACATAATTGTGATTGTAATTATTTTAAAAAATTCTTTAGGGTCACTCATGTATAAAAAATTAAGTTCCCTTCCCATATGAAAAACTGAAGTTTTTTTTTTTAAGTCATGACTGTATTTGTTTTCAGCTCTCATTCTGTTACTAAAGGACTCCTCCCCCTCTGTGCGTAGTAAGGCAGCAGAAGCTATGAGCTGGCTGTACGATTACTGATCATGAGATGTCAGTGGAGAATAATGTGATGTGAGTATGAAAGGCAGTGGCACCCTCTGTTGGGAAAATGTGAACGTTACATGTTGAAAATAACAGAATGTGATTGAAATTGAAAAATGACAGTAGACAAGGAGGGTTTGTGTACTGGTCAGTAGTCTAATATGGCAGTTTACATATAACAGTTTTCATAGGAGTAAAGTCAGGATTTAATCATTGCCTAAAATATATAGATGTGCATAGCTTGTGAACCTTTTTGGCATTGTAAAAGGTACTATACATGTATTTGAAAGCAATATATTGTTGGGAAAATAGATTAGTCATTGTGACTCTGTTTAAATTGATGTTTTCTTTATTTTTTTCTCTAGTTATAAAGCAAACCATCGAGTGCACATGCTGCAGACCAAAGAGAGTTAAGAAGACTTAAAACATTCAAATAAAGCATTCCATTGCATAATGTCTATCTGTAAGGGAATTCCTGCACATGTGCCCTGCCCTTATATTAATTAACATACAAACAGGCATCATTGGCAAGACCTTGAAGGTTTCAAGTTAATTATTGGATCTAAACAAAAGTACAGCCTCAATGGGACAAAAAAGCATATCAGTGGGGCTTGAACTTTAAATGCAATCATGATGAAACTGACCCTTGTTCATAATATATATGATTTAAATATATGCAGTCACTACGATGTTCTTCATACTGCTGAAAATTTTAATCATTGTGGCTCGAATTAAAAAAAGGTTGATTTGGAAATGTATGCACAGTTGTTTAAATTATAAGGTAGTTGTTTGCTGTGATAATAACATGGAAATATTGTATTGTGTGCATAAGCAAGAAAACCAATAGATGAAACTGTGCAAAGACTAAGAAAGGGTTATCCAGAAGTTGACTGAAATATTGTCCTTTTCTTACTTATTTTTCAAGGGAATTAAGCAGGGTTTGGTTATTTACTTTAATGTGGAGTGCACATATAAAAGTTAGCTTAATTATTGTTAATTTATCAAGGTGAAAAGTATTTATGTTAAAAAATTATTTTGCTTAGGAATTCTATGTCAGATAAACTGAAACAAAGCAACATGATTGCAAGTGCGAAGAATAATTTTATGTGGTCAGCCTTATTTAGTCATTTAAGGGGTCAGAGTCTGTAGAAGATTAGGTTTTGGGATATTAAAAAAACTGATTAGAAGGAAGCAAAATCCTTAGCTAATTATGATGCATACCGTCCTAGTTAAGTTTGATGATTTCAGCAAAATAATGTCAGACCTTAAAGGAAGACATCCATATATTATGTTTTAAACTGATTAAATCATGAAGTGGAATTGTGCAGCTGTATTTATTAACAACTGCATAGTACCATTTAATTTATTTGAAATCTTTTGATGGCAATATCCATTTGGGCCAAAAGATGCATCAAGCGTAAGCAAATGTAAAGCTGTAAGTGCATGAATATGAAGATAATGTAGATAAGTAAATGTCATGATAGCGGAGAGGATTTATTGCAAAATGATTGTTAATAAAGGAGTATATTCACCACACTGCAGCTTTATAATATTTTACATTTTACTGTAAGATTAATTAATAATTTATTGAAAGAGAATAAATGTTGCTTACAGAGAAACTTTTTCTGATAGTCATTTTGCTGGACATATTTTATTTTCAAACTAGTACACGTTATGCCAATCCTGAAAATAAATTTCTAATAATAAATAGCAACACCTTTAAATAAATTAGAGGCATGTCAAAGGGAATTTTGAAATAAAAAATTAAAACTATTTCCAGTCCTTTTATAAATAATATAAAAAGTTTAATATTAAAGAATTTACATTTCTGATTATTCTTTCATCAATCTATTTATTTATTTATTTAAACATGTATTCATTCACTCAATAATATCAACTCATACTAAGAAATTTATCCAGTTTTATTAATCATGTATTTATTTATATATTCATCATTAAGTGACAATACAATATTCACCTGCATTTAGGAATCTGTGGCAGCTGTCTGGAGACTGTGGCTGAAGCCTGCTGTGTCACACACACTGTAACAGCACACAACTCCTTCATCTGTGGAGGACAAGAGAAGTACAACTCCCAGGGTCCACCGTCATGCTGGTTCCTGGCCTGCATTTTACTTATTGGATATGATGTACTAAAATGATGTGGTCTAAAATTTTCACAGTCGATGCTAGCTGGTTAATTTACATGTAAATTTGCTCTACATGTATGTTGAAAATGAATAAGTGAAAGGCTTGAATTGTCTGTAAACTGTAGTTTAAAATACTTGCATTAAACTCAACTTTTGTTTTCTGTTTATATACTAGTATATTGTACTTGCAGATGTGAAGTGCAAAAAAATAAAATAAAATAAAATAAAAAATATATAAATAAATAAATTATA